GGCCCGCGGGGGGGGGGGGGGGAAGGGGGTGGTACAGAGGCAGGGTCCTGCCTGGCTCCAGGGCCTGGGACCTCCCCCTGCCCTGCTGGCAGAGCTGTGCAGGAGGCTGTGATAACCATGTGCAGTCCACAAGTAGGAACTGTGGCTGCTCCTGGAAACAGGGGCTAAGACCCGTCTGTGCCCCCAACCCCGGTGGGTTCTGGTGCCACCACTGCTCTCCCCAGGGCCTTCTCCTACACAAACCAGTACAACTGCAACATCCGCTTTGACAACCTCTACATCACCACCTACTTCCGCCAGATTGATGCCCGGCGCAGGCAGCAGGTGAGGCCATGGCCCGAGGGCAGCGCTGGGTCACGAGGGAGGAGAGCTGTGGACAAAGGACACAGCCCAGCTTGCTTCCATGGGACCAATCCTGCTCCATGTCATCTTGAAGGAGAAGCACACGCTGCTGCCCCTGCGCCGAGCTGAGGTCTCCAGCGTTGTCTTCCCCTGCCGGCTGGCCTTCCAGGTGCCCGAGCTGAAGAGCATGGTGAGCAGGCATGGGGCTGCATGACCATGGCTCTGCCTAGCATGGAGAAGCACCCTGCAAGAGCCCAGTCTGGCACCACCAGGTTGTCACTGGTGGCACTCAGGGGGCTGGGGGCACTGGGCTGGGGTGCAGGGGGCTGGGACATGGAGGGCTGGATCTGTGGTTTGGGGGTAGTGGTGACAGCCACACTCCCCCCAGGTGCTGGAGCTGCTGGACTGCATCCCGCCCCTGCTGTTCCTGCTGCTGGCCTGGGGCCTGGATCACTTGCTCTACACCTCGCTCAGCATCATCCAGCACCACTCCTTTGTGCAGTACTCCTTCCATAGTGAGTGCTTGCCCTGTGGCCCAGCCTGGAGGCTGCCCTGGCCCCATGGCCCCATTGGCAGGGCCTCCATCTCCTTTAGCTGTAAATGCCCTGCCCAGCCGTGAAGGCACTTGCCAACAGTGGCCATCACCTGGGGCAGGGCCTGACCACAGCCCCCAGAACACCCCATGTTCCCGGCACTGCTGCACTGACCACCGCTCCCCACCACCGCAGGCAGCCACCACCTGGAGGTGTGGGTCGGGGGCAGGTCACTGCTGGCCCGCCTGCTGCGCAGCACTATCGGGGCCCTGAACACGTCCTCGGAGACAGTGCTGGAGTCCAACAACCTTGGTGAGCAGATGAGGGGACCCCCCCACCCCAATCAGGCCTCTCTGCCTGGCACTGGGATCCAGGGCCACAGAGGGGGGGCAGTGCTGTTCTGGGGGTGGGGTCAGGGGCCTCAGCATCCCTCTGCCTCTGTCTGTGTCCAGCCTGCCTGCCACAGCCCCGGCACATGGAGCAGGGCGACTACATGGCCAGCTGTCTCCCGCTGGGTGTATTGGTGCTGCTGTGCCTGCTGCAGGTCTACACCCACCGCTTGCGCCGCGTCATTGCTGCCTTCTTCTTCCCCAAGGTGAGACCCTGCCCCCCGGCTCCATCTGGGAAGCTGATCCCTCCTGGCCAAGGCATCATGTCCTGCTGCCCCCTGCATCCCGGGGCCTGCCCTGAATCCCTAACTGAGCCCACTCCCCAGGGGCAGCCCCAGGTCCCTGTACAGCTGCACTCACGCTGCCCTGTGCCTGAGCAGCGGGAGAAGAAGCGTGTCATTTTCCTCTACAATGAGATGCTGCGGAAGCGCCAGGCCTTCCTCCAGCGGCAGCGTCGGCGGGTCGCCCAGCATGCCCAGCGCTGGGGCCTGGTGAGTGCAGACACCGGGCGGGGCACGGAGGAGAGATGGATGCTGTGGGCTCCATGGGGCTGGGCCTGGCTGGGTTGGGGGTGTCAGGGACCCTGAGGGGGAGCAGCACATGGGTGGGCAGGGGCACGCAAGCCTGTGCGTGCACTTGTGCATTGCACCCTGTGCTGCCACTGCCACCCAGGGACACTGACACTGGAGTCCTCACTCACCCACGGCAACTCGAGCTGCTCTGGTGCCCATGTCCTGAGGCCTTGCCCACCTGTGTCTGCTCTTGCCCAGCTGGGAGTACCCACACTGACCTGCATGTGCTCAGTTGCCCACGCATGGCACAGGCCTGTGCACCATCTGCTCAGTTGTTATGCAGCCCAGGGGGCACCTTGTGTCCTGCCCAGCTCATCTTTCCCGAGGGAGCAGCTCCCACCACAGCAGAGCTCTTCTGCCCACTCCGACCCAGCCCCAGGAAGCATCCACTGGGCTTTCTCCTGCCCTGGGGCAGGAATTGGCCCTAGCCACAGGCAAGCACAGCCCTTGCCCAGGCTGCACCTGTCCCCACTGCAGGAGCCGCCCGTGCTGCGCTGGTGCCCACGGCTGCGCCAATGCCCGTTGCTGCGCTGGTTGCTGCGCCGCCGCTGCGTGCTGTGCGGTTCACCGGAGGGCCCCAGTGCCCACACCTGCCCGGCGCCCTGCGGTGCCCAGTACTGCCGGCCCTGCTGGAGGGACGTGGGCCAGGCCTGCCTGGCCTGCGCCCCCGACCCCGGGCCGCCCTCAGGGGACAGCAGTAGCGAAGACCAGATGACCTACGCGGACTGAAGCGCGGGGGCGCGGGGCGTTCAATTAAAGCGCTGCCGCTCCGACGTGGGGAGGAGCATGTATGTCGGGTCGGGTCGCGTCGGGCCC